TTCTTGAAGGATTATGGTTTTCTGGGAGATTACTCTGGGAACAGCTTACTTCTTGGGGCTAAAACGGACTTATAAGCTCGCTTTGAGGATCCAGCGTCGGATTGTTAGTCCCAAGCATCCCAAAATCCGTCAATTTCTTCATCGGTGAGTTTTTTCTTTTTTCGATTCTGGTTTCTTCTGATGTAGGTTTGATTTCGTATTGTTGGAATCGGAAATCTCATTTTGGGAAATTAGGTTTTTAGAATCTGTAGATGAAATTAGTGATTCGGTTATATGCTTTCGAATCGTTGGCTCAATCCGATCAACGAGCATAGAAATTGATCAATGGAAACTACAATCTTACTGTGAATCTCGATCGAATCAGTTCCTATGAGCTTTTCCTGTAAGAAATAATTCGGTTCTTGCTCTGTATTTTTGTTTGATCTTTAGCGATTAAGCCGTTTTTCGAGGTTTATTTTAAGGAATTAGAAGACTAGGATCAAGAATGAAGTGTATGAGATGGTATAAAATCGTTGAATTCATGAGATTGATCTCATTTTGGTCTTTGAAACTATCACCAACATATATTTTCTTGTACATTAACTCTGATTCTTGAACCAGTTTATGCATTTCTACATTGTGGATCATACTCTCTCATAGAGATTATCAGATAGAACCTCTAGTGATTAATGTTGAATCTATTTCTTTTTGAGATTTGACAGTAGCTTAGGTTCATGATTATGGTTATGCATTTAACTCGCTCTCTTTCTCGTCTGCATTGTCTTGTTTTTTGTTGCAGGAGGACTCGTAAAATATTCGATGTGGCAGTTTCGGTTCACAAGAATATACAGCAGAGAGACATTGAAGTTGGTCGGAATCTCGGAAACTGGATTCTTCGTTGGCTCGACCGGATGAAACCAGCTGCACAAATCCGTACTCGACCAGAACTACCACACAACACTAACTCGAACATGGACAAGGCAAAAAGACTATCGGAAATGTCCCGTCCCAAACCGCACACAAACACAACGCAGACTCCACAAAACCGTGAATCCGATAGACACTTGTTCTCTTCATTGAAACACTTCCGCCACAAGCCATTCCCAACTGTCTCTATGATGATCCAACCGCAGAGGCCCAATGGAACTATGACTCAGTACAGACATTACAGTAGCGGTGAAGCCTCAAGTCTGATTCAACCGAGCTATGTTAGAGGCGGCCGGCTCGATGGTGTAATCAGGAAGGATATTTTGGAATGGATGGTAAAGAGATGATGATGATGAAGCAGGAAGATTCCATCAAAGTTCCAATCATTTTGAGACATATTTGAGCCTTTCAAATTTTTTCTTTTAATTCCAGAAACTGATGTGATTGTGGATAGATTCGGAACAAGTGTGTAGAAAACATGGTAATGTCTTCTTTTTTTGTTTCTAACGCTTTAATAAAGTTTTATATACATTGAATTGAGACTAACAATAATAGTTTGCTACTCATAATTACTAATTTACTATACATCAATAGTATTAGTAGATATAAATCAATTCGAACACTTCTTATAAAAGTGAGTCATATCTGACACCTCTAGAAAAGGTGAAAAGGTTGTTGAAATTTTGTTGAATGTGCACTCAACTTCTTTCGCAACTTCTAATATCGGGGGCATCATATATTGTATTTCTTTTAGTTAGTTAAATTTTTGTTCTTGACAGAAAAAATATTAGAAGAAATACAAGAAATTCATAGACTTTGGACCGACTCTGCCTACAAAACTAACAGTGAAGAAAAAAATATTCATTGGCGACGAAAAAACCAAATTTTACTTCCCAAAAATTTCTAAAATTAACAAAAACAACCAGAACTTCGACTTAAATAATCATTCTGAATTTTAGTACACAATTCCATGTAGATTCATGAAAATAAATCATAAGAAAACTATAGTTAAAAAAATAAAATAAAAAATAGTCCAAAGGAAGAGCTCTCAATCCCATAAATCATCAAAAGCTGCAGAGTTAATAGCCTTAGCAAACTCCTGAAAATTAATCCGACCATCTCCGTCACTATCCGCTTCCTTAATCATTCCGGTCAATTCCGCCACCGTCAAAGCATGGCCAAGCTTAGCCATTGAATGTGCCAACTCCGCCGCGGTAATAAACCCATTACCGTCTGTATCAAATATCCTAAACAATCGGAGAAGCTGCTCCTCCGTGTAAGGAGTCTTAGTTTTCGCCGTTGATGATAGTAGCTCCGGCGAGACCAAAGCTACAAACTCCGGGAACTCGACTAGACCGTTGCTTTTAGTGTCGGATTTGTCGATTAGGGTTTCGAATTGGTCTGGACTTGGTTTAAGACCTAGTGCTCGGAGAAGTGATCCTAGCTCGAGTTGAGTTAAGCTTCCGTCTTTGTTCCGATCAAATGACCGGAATATCTCCCGGAGTTCATCGATTTGCTCCTCGTCTAGTTTCTTGGAGACTTTGTGGCTCATAATGGCTTTACTTGATGTACACGTTTTCTTGTGTTTACCTTTTAGGACACACAAATGGAAACTTGTGTTTGTGTTTTGTAATAGATTTAGTTATCAAAAGATATTAAGAAATGTGATGAATAAATTACAGATTGGATTGAAGGGCCTGTTCTTTGGTTCCTCCATTTTTGGTGGATCTTCCTTTTTACTAGGGCTCAAACTATAACTTCTATTTGAACCCAAAAAACGAAAAAAATCAACTTGTTTAGTGAGTGTAATTAAGCCATGCGCTAAATTTTAACTAACTTATATTGACTATTAGTGTTGTTAAAGCTAGGATTTGGTTAATATTTTAGTGATATATATATGGTAACTATATCACTTGTTCACTATATTTTACCATTCACTGATTCACATGTAATTAAAAGATGAGTTAGTACAAAAGTCATGGGTTTCTCGTGTCCCTCAGAAACATGTAGACAAACAAAACAAATGTCTTCTTTAACCAAATAAACCAAACAAATGTCTTCTCAAATGTACGTACGTTGACCAAAAAAAGTTACATTACATATTTTTACTTTGGGGTTTAAAAACCCATCACAGCAAATGGTTAAATCTCATCCATAATTTGGTGATTAATTCACCAATTTATTGGTTATGAGTGACACGTTAATAGATGGAAATGCTATAAAGGACTCACCATGGAAGGTGGATCAATCTTTTGGAGCCTAGTGGTAACACAAGGAGATTGGTTCTCTTGTGCCCCGGGTTAAAACCTCTTTTGGTACAGAGGGTTAAATCTTTAAATCGGATTATCTAAAGGTTGACTCTATACCGAATAGATTATAAGTCAAAAGTTCGGAACTCCAACGGTTTAAAACAAAAAAAAAACTTTTGGAGCACAAATGTCAAACACTTAAATTCTCTTTG